CTGGCCAGAACCAACTGCTGACTTTTAATAAACAGACACTCAACTATCTAGGGATCCAGAGCTGCCCTCACCTGAGTCAGTTTCTTCACCGGCATTTTAACTATGGGCAGCTGGCTTTGACGTCTTGCGGGATCCGATCTGAACTATCAGAATGGACACACACAGAGTGCTAGGGGGTACCTGTGAAAGCCAGATACTCACAACCCCCCCCCCCCAAAAAAAATAATAAAATCCAAATGTGGAGGAGTAGGAAGAGCAGAACGTCCCCTTTTGATATTAAAGGCAATTTTTTAAAAGAATAACAAACATGTTATACATACCTGCTCTGTGTGATGGTTTTGCACAGAGCAGTCCCGATCCTCCTCTGCTTGGGTCCCCTGCCTGTGCTTCTGGCCCCTCCATTCTGCCTAGTGCCCCCAGTACGAATAGCTTGCTATGGGGGCACTAAAGCAGGTTCGCTCCCATCTCTTTTCTCATTGGCTCACTGGCTGTGATTGTGGCTCCCGCTGCTGTCTTAGCAAATTAGGAAGGAGAGTCCCCAGGGAGCTGAGGCTCTCATGCACATTGCTGGATCGCGATGGGACTAAAGGGGGCTGCTGCACACAGAAGGTTTTCTAACCCTGAGCCCTTACAACCAAATTAAATTTCAGCTTCAGCTATTGTGGTCTATTAACAACTGTTTATTTTAACAGGCTGTAAAGAGATGGGGGAAAATGAGAACAGGAGTAGGAGAACTTCACCTACTGGTTAAAAAAAAAAATCCCAAATATTAAAATACCATATATCATAATTGCCTGACTTAATATAAAACAAATACATTTCCTTTTTAAATATATAGCACAATTTTTTTATATTTTATATTTATATTATATTTCTGCTATATGTAGAATATGATATAATTGAGCATTGACAGCACTTGTTTTAGAGCTGCATTTAGACTATATAGAGGGAGTGCAAAATTTTCATTGTTCCTTTTTATTGCGTTTTGTATGATGTGTATAATAAATAAAGGAAGTACCATATGTACTGTACAACAATACTGTCCTTTTCATTTCTTTGAAACAGGAGAACTTGCTACTACTGACCAGCCTGATTTTATCTTTCATCTTCCTAGAGTGAAATCATATAATAAAAAATATAGTTGTGCCTCAAAAATCCAGACTACAAGATACAGTATATATATTTTTTTTTTTATATATGATGGAATTACAAAAGCGGTGTGGCACATAGATATAGCCAACGTATTACAAATTTCCTATTTTCCGACGACCCCAGTACTGCCAGGTGGAAGTGCTAACCACAAGCACTTCCACCTGGCAGTACTGGGGTCGTCGGTTCAAATCCCAACCACAGCACCATCTGCCTGGAATTTGCATGTTCTCCCTGTGCCTGCGTGGGCTTCCTCTGGGCACGCCGGTTTCCTCCAACAGTTCAAAGACATGCTGGTAGGGGAATTGGCTCCTGTCTAAATTGTCCCTAGTATGTGTATGTATGAATGTGAGTTAGGGACCTTAGATTGTACGCTCCTTGAGGGTTAGGGACTGATGTGAATGTACTATATATATGTAAAGTGCTGCATAAATTGATGGCGCTATGTAAGTACCTGAAATATATATATTTTTTTTTATTTCCTTACCTTGAAGGTCTGGCCTTCCTGGGCTCTTTTACCATCCCAGGCCCAGCCCCTTTTCGTGAAATAATTGACTGTGGCGAACTCAATAAGTGCGGAGAAGACAAAAGTATAGCACACCGCCATAAACCAATCCATTGCTGTAGCGTAGGCAACCTTGGGCAGCGAGTTCCGTGCGCTGATGCTCAGTGTCGTCATGGTCAGAACAGTAGTGACTCCTAAGGTAAAGAGAAAAGCTGTCATACAAGCATGTTGCATAAAGTCACCGCACTCACAGATGAGATCTATACATTTTAGAAATAAATACTTGTCGCCTCTGTAAAAAAAACAAAGGATACCTTGTAAAAAATAGAATTTCAGTACTTACCTCTCCAGGAGGCTGAGGTCTCCCATCATTTAGAGCTCCAAAAGCAACTTTCTGTGTCAATATTTTATTAAAAAGCGGATCAATACAAATCAACTGTTCGCCCCCCCGCGCAGGGGTTAAAGGTCAAAGGGTGAACAAATAACAAGCGGTATAACATTTTTTAGAGCACTACAGATTAGTATAATGCAGACTGAAGCCACAGTACGGCTTCAATGTCCCAGAAGCAAGTCCCGGGAGGACAAATGGTAGGTATTAATGGCATCAATCTAATATTTCACTTAAAGAAAAAAGAATTAGAAAAACTGAAGGGAAAAAAAAAAACAGAAAAGGAGAAAAAGTGAAAACCAGAAACATAGAGAAAGGAGTAGTCTCCTGCAGGCCTGGGTTACAATTGAAATTTAAGGAGCCCCCAAGGCAAACTGGAAAAGGGTAAGGAACTCGTAGGTCCACCAAGGATGTCAAACTTTCAGAAATTAAGCATGTGAGCTACATACAACGCTGGCCATCTTTTCATGCATCATCAAGGTAGTCAGGGTAAGCTTGACCATATAGAAAGGGACAGAGGGTGACTTCCATGCTTTGGCTAGGACCCGTTTGGCGGCTATGGATACGTAGTTGGCCAGTTTCTGTTGGCGAACATACAACCCCACAATCGGGCAATGTACCAAGGCTGATTTTGCATCTTTCGGGATGGGAATATGGAAGATAGAGTATAAAAGGCCAAATACTGTGAACCAAAACCCCTTTGAGACGTGGGCATGACCACCAGGTATGAAGCAGATCACCTCACATTCCGCGGAATCATCTGCAAAAGCAACTTTCAAGTCTACCAGATAGCATGTTCTCTGCTAGGCACTGTGGTTCTAAAGGACCCTTTAAAGTGGACTTTGCATTAAAACGCAAGGCCCACTTAACTAGAAGACCCCCTGCCCCATGCTAAATAAATAAAACTGAATAAAATTGAAAATAACCTACCTTATACCCCGGATTCTAGACGGGTCATCTAGGTGAGCTTGACTTCACTACCAGGATCTTGGGAAAGCCGAGGGTTCCAAATCATGCAAGGACACATCCTTGTATAGTTATGGAATGGCTTTCCTAGAACCCCGAGAAAAGGTCCAGTGACCTCACATAACCTTGACTTTTTCTGCGTTTTTTTTTTTTTTTTTTTCTTATTAACCACTTCTAGTCCGGACACTATCCCCCCCCCCTTCCAGTCCGGTCGCTTTTGCCCCCTTCCAGTCCGGACACTTTCACCCCCTTCCAGTCCAGGCCAATTTTCAGCTTTCAGCGCCATCACACTTTTTGAATGACAATTGCGCAGTCATGCAACACTGTACCCATATGAATTTTTTAGCTTTTTTTGAGACAGATAAAACTTTATTTAGGTGGTATTTATTCACCACTGGGATTTTTATTTTTTTTGCTATATAAATGAGAAAGTCCAAAAAAACAAAAAACAAAAAGGGGTTTTTCTTATAAAATTTAGCAAATAAATCATCTTTCTTCATAAATCTTGGCCAAAATGTATTCATCTATCTTTTTAGTAAAAAAAAATTTTGAAAAAAAGTGTTTCTTATAAAATTTAGCAAATAAATCATCTTTCTTCATAAATCTTTTCCAAAATGTATTCATCTATCTTTTTAGTATAAAATTTTGAAAAAAGGTTTTTCTTATAAAATTTAGCAAATAAATCATCTTTCTTCTTCTTCATAAATCTTGGCCAAAATGTATTCATCTATATTTTTAGTAAAAAATTAAATTTAAAAAAAAGGGGTTTTCTTATAAAATTTTGCAAAAAAATCATGTTTCTTCATAAATCTTGGTGTCAGGGATCTCCTCGATCCCTGCCGCGATGGTCCCGGCGCAGGCGCACTGCTCCGCCCTGTACACGGGCACTAGGTCCGGGCCGGCCGCGGCGTTCGAGTTCGCGCATGCGCAGTAGAAGCCGCGGCCGCCCGCTGGGCACCAATGGCAGCGCAGGGCGGGATATTTAAAGGTCCCTGAGCTGTCATTTCGTTGCCTTCTGGTCTTACCTGCTTCCTGTGATTCTGTACCTGTGCCTAGTAAGTTTATTGACCCGGATTGTTTCTTGACCTGCTGCTTTCTCCTGCCCAGACCCTTGCTTGCCTGACCCTCTCTCCCTGGATGCCCCTCATTAGATCTGACCTCCTGTTGCTGACCTGGCGTGTGACCCGACGATTCTCTGCCTGCCCCCTTGTACCCTACCGTCCTCTACGTTACCGACTCGGCCTGTCTGACTACGCACTTGCTCAGCCATCCATCCATCCATCCATCCCATCGGGGTCACCCGACCTCCTCACATCTGGTTCAATATTGAGTTGGCCCCGCCCTTTGCAGCTATAACAGCTTCACCTCTTCTGGGAAGGCCGTCCACAAGGTTTAGGAGGGTGTCTATGGGAAGGTTGGACCATTCTTCCAGAAGCACATTTGTCAGGTCAGGCACTGATGTCGGGGGAGGAGGCCTGGCTCGCAGTCTCCACTCTAATTCATCCCAAAGGTGTTCTATGGGGGTTGAGGTCAGGACTCTGTGCAGGACAGTCAAGTTCCTCCACCCCAAACTGGCTCCTCCATGTCTTTATGGACCTTGCTTTGTGCACTGTTGCGCAGTCATGTTGGAACAGGACGGGGCCATACCCAAACTCTTCCCACAAAGTTGGCAGCATGAAATTGTCCAAAATGTCGCCTTAAGAGTTCCCTTCACTGGAACTAGGAGGCCAAGCCCAACCCCTGAAAAACAACCCCACACCATAATCCCCCTCCACCAAATGTTACATTTGACACAATGTCAGGCAAGTACCGTTCTCCTGGCCACCACCAAACCCAGACACATCCATCGGATTGCCAGACAGAGAAGTGTGATTGGTCGCTCCAGAGAGCACGTCTCCTCTGCTCTAGAGTCCAGTGGCGGCGTGCTTTACACCACTGCATCCGATGCTTTGCATTGCACTTGGTGATGGAAGGCTTGGATGCAGCTGCTCGGCCATGGAAAACCATTCCATGAAGCTCTCTACGCACTGTTGTTGGGCTCATCTGAAGGCCACACCAAGTTTGGAGGTCTTTAGCTATTGGCTCTGCAGACAGTTGGTGACTTCTGCACACTGTGCGCTTCAGCATGCGCTGACCCCGCTCTGTCATGTGACGTGGCCTACCACTTGGTGGCTGAGTTGCTGTTATTCCCAGTGGCTTCCACTTTGTTATAATCCCACTAACAGTTGAGCGTGGAATATTTAGTAGCCAGGAAAATGTCATGGATGGACTTATTGCACAGGTGACCACCTATCACGGGACCACGCTTGGAGTCCCTGAGCTCCTGAGAGCGACCCATTCTTTCACTAATGTTTGTAGAAGCAGTCTGCATGCCTAGGGGCTTGATGGTGTACATCTATGGCCATGGAGGGGATTGGAACACCTGAATCACATGATGTGGAGGGCGGGGCCAATACTTTTGGCAATGTAGTGTATCTGAAAAGGGTAAGTATGCACCGTAAAATTACAACACAGAATAACCACACAGGTTATGGTGAGAAGATACCAAAGGAATCAAAAATCTCTCCAAGTGAGTAAGGCCGTCCATCAGGTGGGAGGAAAGAAAATGATCCCCCCCATTTACACAGTTGATGGGAAAATCCCTCCCGCAGCGTTCGGCCAATGGGGAGCCTTCCCTGCAGGCAAAACACAATGATGGTTGCCAGCCATAGCCGGAGGCGTTAATTGTTTCAGAAAAACCCGTCAGGCCTGGTTGTGTACAAGGCTATCGATGGATCGACTAATGTACAACCAGGGTGTCAATGCGTGAATCGAAATTCGTCCGGTCCCTGCTGAACTGGATTTATTGTGTATAGAATATTATTCACATTTCTCATTCCTTCCCATTTCCTAAAAACTAAGATGATTTTTACTGAAAATATTGAAATATATTGAATACGGCCAAAATTGTAGTATTTCAAATATATGTCAATATATTTGGGAAGAATATTTTTAATATACATTTCAAATATATTTTTCTTCCATATTTGGAATCACGTACATATATGTGATTCTGCACAGAATGGCCGCCCAGTAGCAGTAAAGCTACATGGGCCGGTCCACAACTGGTTAATTCCCATCAGCCAAAAGGACCTCCAAACTATAGAGTGATATTATTGAGCCATTTATTCCAAACTGCATAGAGTTGTTTCAGGCTTTTTGGCCATCATCAGTGCAGTGCATGGAAACCACGACTTCCATGGAGTAGGATTTGGGACCCAAGTAGACAGTATAACCATACAGATTAAAGTGAGAGAGGACCATAGGAATGAAAAAGGGACTAACGGTATCATAAGGCCCTCAACCCCTCCAAGTGTCAGGCTGCATCCCCCCCCCCCCCAGGTGACAGTCATGTTGGAACAGGAAGGGGCCGTCCCCAAACTCTTCCCACAAAGTTGGGAGCATAAAAAAGTGTCCAAAATGTCGCCTTAAAGCAGTGTTTCTCAACTCCAGTCCTCATGGACCCCCAACAGGTCATGTTTTCAGGATTTCCCTCAGATGAAACAGCTGTGGTAATTACTAAGGCAGTGAAACTGATCAAATCACCTGTGCAAAATAATGGAAATCCTGAAAACATGACCTGTTGGGGGGTCCATGAGGACTGGAGTTGAGAAACACTGCCTTAAATAGTTCCTTTCACTGGAACTAGGGGGCCAATCCAAATACATCCAAAGACGGAAGGAACAAAAAGAATGATTGCATGTTTATATTTCCTGAATCATTGAACTTACCGAACACGGTCCTGGCTGGGACCGACTCCCTGTTAAGCCAGAAAGACACTTGTGACAGGATGACGGTCATTATACACGGCAGATAGGTCTGTATAACGAAGTATCCAATTTTTCTCTTCAGGTGGAAGTGAGTAGTCATGACAATATATTCACCTAGCGGAGGCAGAATAAAAAAGAACTCTTTAATTAAAACATAATGAAGAGTTTCGTTTTATAAATTTTTTAAAACAACGAGTGACGATAGAGAGATAGGGGTGCAAGGCTGCTGTTAGAAAACCATGGGGCCCCATACAGCCAACCTGACAGCTTCCCCCCCCCCCCCAAAAAAAAAAAACAACACAGTTATAAATTAACAGTGAGTGATTGGTGCCACTCACTCATTGTGTTCATTCGGGAAAGCATCGGGTTGGTAAATGTGACATATTTACGGGACCCTTCCCCTCTCTCCATCTTACAGAATCATATTGTGTGCTTGCAGCTGTTAGTGGAAAGGAGAGGGAAGCCAGCAGCACTGTGGGGATGGGTGCACTCAGGGGGTGCAGGTGCAGCGGGGGGCAATTACTGGAACCAATCCCCTGTATGGCTCTCTCTGCAGCAGCTGAAAGCCAGCAAGAGGGAGAAGAGAAGAAGCCGGCTTTCAGCTGCTGCAGGGAGAGTCATACATCGGTTCCAGTAATTGCTCCCTGCTGTGCCGATCACCCTCCCTGTCCTCATCTGATTCACCCAGCTGCCTGGGCCCCCCTGCTGGCCTGGGCCCCATACAGGAGGACTGGTGATACCCCCTTATTCACAGCCCTGCAGGGGTGTTTTCAGGCTCCTAATAGATATGGGTGCACACATTAAAATGTTGAGGGACCGGTAAGATACCACGATGACCTCTTTGGATTATATCTAAGATTGATATGGATAGATGAACAGAAAAGTGAATAAATGATTTCATGTTTCAAAACCGTATAATTCATGGAATGTGTAAAAAAAAAAAAAAAACTAGTAAAAACGGGGTGTTCTAGGGTGACCCACTGATATCTTTATATAGCTCTGAAAAACAGCATCGAAATCATGAGTTAGATATAAAAAAAAAAATGTATAAATTTTGTTTTATTATGAAACATACATTAACAGCTTCCCGACTGCCCTATAGCAGACATATTGCTACAGGGCGGCACGGGCGCGCAAAATCACGGATATACACAGTATCTCCCAGAAGTGAGTCCGCCCTTCACATTTTTGTAAGTCTTTGATTCTATCTTTTCATGTGACAACACTGAAGAAATGACACTTTGCTACAATGTGACGTAGTCAGTGTACAGCTTGTATAACATGTAAATTTGCTGTCCCCTCAAAATAACTCAACACATCACCATTAATGTCTAAACCGCTAGCAACAAAAGTGACTCCACCCCTAAGTGACAAGGTCCAAATTGGGCCCAATTAGCCATTCTCCCTCCCCGGGGTCATGTGACTCATTAGTATTACAAGGTCTCAGGTGAGAATGGGGAGCAGGTGGGTTACATTTGGTCTTATCGCTCTCACTCTCTCATACTGGTCACTGGAAGTTCAACATGGCACCTCATGGCAAAGAACTCTCTGAGGATCTGAAAAAAAAGAATTGTTTCTCAAATTAAAGATGGCCTAGGCCACGGATGTCAAACTGGCGGCCCTCCAGCTGTTGCCAAACTACAAGTCCCATGAGGCATTGCAAGACTGACAGTTACAAGCATGACTCCCAATGCTAGAGGCATGATGGGACTTTTCTTTGGAGGACCACCAGTTTGAAACCCCTGGCCTAGGCTATAAGAGGATTGCCCTGAAACTGAGCTGCAGCACGGTGGCCAAGACCATACAGCGGTTTACAGGACAGGTTCCCCTCAGAACAGGCCTCGCCATGGTCCACCAAGGAAGTTGAGTGCACGTGCTCAGCGTCATATCCAGAGGTCTTTGGGAAATGGACGTATGAGTGCTGCCAGCATTGCTGCAGAGGTTGGGGGGGGGGGGGTCAGCCTGTCAGTGCTCAGACCATACGCCACACACTGCATCACATTGGTCTGCATGGCTGTCATCCCAGAAGGAGGCCTCTTCTAAAGATGATGCACAAGAAATCCCGCAAACAGTTTGCTGAAGACAAGCAGACTAAGGACATGGATTACTGGTGGTGGGAGTGTCATGGTCTGGGGCTGCATGAGTGCTGCTGGCACTGGGGGGCTACAGTTCATTGAGGGAACCATGAATGCCAACATGTACTGTGACATACTGAAGCAGAGCATGATCTCCTCCCTTCGGAGACTGGCCACAGGGCAATATTCCAACATAACGACCCCAAACACACCTCCAAGACCACCACTGCCTTGCTAAAGAAGCTGAGGGTAAAGGTGATGGACTGGCCAAGCATGTCTCCAGACCTAAACCTATTGAACATCTGTGGGGCATCCTCAAATGGAAGGTGGAGGAGCACAAGGTCTCTAACATCCACCAGCTCCGTGATGACGTCATGGAGAAGTGGAAGAGGACTCCAGTGGCAACCTGTGAAGCTCTGGTGAGCTCCATTCCCAAGAGGGTTAAGGCAGTGCTGGAAAACAATGGCGGCCACACAAAATATTGACACTTTGGGCCCAATTTGGACCTTGTCACTTAGGGTGGACTCACTTTTGTTGCCAGTGGTTTAGGCATTAATGGGGGGGGTGTTGAGTTATTGTGAGGGGATAGCAAATTTACATGTTATAGAAGCTGTACACTGACTACGTCACATTGTAGCAAAGTGTCATTTCTTCAGTGTTGTCACATGAAAAGATAGAATAAAATATTTACAAAAAATGTGAGGGGTGGACTCACGTCTGGGAGATATTGTACATGATTTTAGCAATTCCGGGTAGGAGGCGAGCTCAACCCGCGCCACCATCATGGCTGCAGCTGTCAATCACCAGTGCCCGGTGATTGCTGAGCATCTCCAACAGGGAGGATAACTGTATGTATACAATGTATGTATACACAGCCATCCAAAGCAGTGTGATTACAGTGAAGCACAAACAAACAGACACAAATAAAACAGCACACAGTTAACCCTTTGATCACCTAAATGTTAACTCCTTCCTGCCCAGTGCCATTAGTAGTGTCCGTGCTTTTTTTTTTTCACTCTATTGGTGTCACTGGGGAAGTCAGTGACACCAAAGTCAGTCCCCCCCCCCAGTGTCAGAATGCCCGCTGCAGTCCCACTATAAGTTTTTAAAAATTCCAATATGAATACCGCCATTTGTAAATGCTAAAACTTTTACGTAAACCAATTTACACGTATTGGGATTTTCTTTTTAGCAAGGACATGTCGCAGAACACATTTTGGCCTAAATTTATGACAAAATTAGATTTTGTAAATTTTTTTACTGGACATGTGTTTCATAGCAAAAAGTCAAAAAATATTGTTTTCTCTTTCTCAAAATTGTCGATTAATTTTTTTTTTGTTATAGCGCGCACAAAAATAAAAACGCACAGGCAATCAAATAACTCCGAAAGAAAGCTCAATTTGTAGGCAACAAAAAAAAGGCCATAAATTTCATTTGGCTGCAGTGTTGCATGACCCCCGTGCAATTGTCAGTTAAAGTAACACGGCGCCATATCACAAAAAATGGCCTGGGTCAGATGGGGGGGGGGGTGGGGGGGGGGGGGGGGGGGAGAGTCCCCTCTGGAGGGCAAGGGGTTAAAAACATATATGTGCACATCTCATCAATAAAAAGAATACACTGTTCATACTACAGACTTATACTTTTGTCCTTTTTTTTTCAGACGCGTTTCGTG